TCCCTACACACCTTTCACTCAAGATATTATAAAATCTATTGTAAGTGATTGAAACGGCCGCAAGCTTTAGAAGCCAGGTCAGATTTATATAGGAAAGAGGAAGAAGGAAACACCGTTAGGAGGGAGGAAAATACACATTGGCTTTCTAGTGCTTGGCTCTTACTCCATGCAGAAAAGCCACGTGTGTGTTTGCGTGTGTGTGTGCATCTGTTTGTCAGTGGGAGGGTGAGGACTGGTTTCTCAGGCTCCTACTTCCTTGTTACTCCCACAGCAGAGAGGGTGGAACTTGCCCTCAGAAGGCCACAATATTTGGACCCTTGCTGCAGGGAGGAAAATCACAGCCATGTAAAAATGGTTCACAGTGAGATGAAATGTCTTTGAGAGCTCTGAGGTCAGTGCTGGGTGAAGGTTGAGCTCAGATCTTTGGTGACAAGGGCTCAGAGCTTTCATATCTCACTTGTAACATTGCTGTGATGTCCCTTAATTTAGCACCGGTGCCACTGTGGCCAAGAGATGATGAAATGTGCCTTGTGAAGAGGCTGTGAGCTACAGGAAATGTTCTCCTTCTGCACAGAGTATGTTACATATCAGAAGAGGCTGAGAAAGGTGAAGTTGTTCAAACTAGAGAAGGCTAAGAGGGTTATTACTACCTCCTTATAGAAAAGACACAGCTGGGCTCCTCTTACAGGTACACAAACTGGAATAGGGGAATTTCTGGTTGAGAATAGAGATATTTTATCATGAGGTCAGTCAAAGGCTGAATCACTTGACAGAGCCCAGAGACTCTGGGGAATCTCGATTTTTTTTGAGATATTCAAAATTCATCCAGGCAATACCCTGAGCAACTTGAGTTAGCTTGGACTATGGTCCTGCTTTGGGTAGGGACTGGAACAGATCATAGAATTATAGAATGCTTTGGGCTTGAAGGGACCTTTAAAGATCATCTAGTCCAACCCTCCTGCAGTAAGCAGGGACATCTTTAACTAGATCAGGTTGCTCAGAGCCCCATCAAGCCTGACCTTGAATGTTTCCAGGGATGGAGCCTCCACCACCTCTCCGGGCAACCTGTGCCAGGGTTTCGCCATGCCACCTTCTTCCTACCTCCAAAGTCCCTTTCAGTGTCAATCTTTTGTGAGTCTGTGACACTTTCACAATAATATTAGCCTCACAAGGAGTCTTCTCTGGCAAGATTTTGGTGGGGACCTGTGCATCCCAGGTCAAGTCCAACTGCACGGTGATGAAAAGCACTTCCAAAGATCTAGCTCTGGAAATGTGCAGCCATCCTCAAAATAATTCATCCGGCTGATGTTGTTTTGCAGGAAATTTCTGTCTCCAAATGAGAAAGAAGAAAGAGAGTAAAGAACCCCTGAAAGTAATTGTCCACTGGGACATCAATCTGTGGGGCTAGTTCATGCCACGAGCAGTCTATAACCAAGGTCCCTGCACAGAAGGCGGCCAAAAGCACTTCATGCATCTGCTTAGCATGGCCAGGCTTAGGTGCACCTGGGCAGGTCTGGCCACAGGGCAGCAGCAACACTAGGCCATGTAAAGCTAAGATTCCTACCCCCTTACCATTGTTTTCAATAACTTTGGTCTGCTTCTTGTTGTTGTCCTGCTGGACCCCATGGATCTCTATCGTCACCTTAGGGTCAACGATGGAGTTTTTGCTTTTGTTCACCTTGGGCAGCTGCTGACCAGAGATGATCTGTGGAGGCAACAGAAGAAGAGGTCAGGACATTATTAAGAGACAGGATTCCCCGGCAAACTTTGCTCTCCTTTCCTGGAGTGCTGTGACCTGCTGAGACAAGCTGGTGCTGGTCTTTCAGAGCCAGCGTTGTGACATTTTTCAGAGGAAGCTGTCATGAGCCAGAGCAACTAATGAACGTTGCTCCAGCCCAGCCAGTTGGCTGGGGGGCAGGCAGCTTTTCTAACTGTCCCCACAGTGATCAGATGATACTCGGAAACAACAGTGGTGACTGTGGACTGCATGTCTGCCTGCACACTTCTGTAACGAGAGCGAATATTGTCATTAACCTCTCCTGTTGCCAAACATTAAACATGTGGGCAAGCCCCTGGAGAATGAGAGCCCACGCAGGACTGAAACAAAGACCTCAGCAGTGGGAAATGAGAAAGGTCAGGATAACGTTGCCCAGGTGGGACCAAGAAAAAAAGCAGGTGCAACCTACAAGCCCCCGCCCATGAAGATGGATGCTACTAAGACATTTTCTAACTTCTATTCTTACTTTAAGCAGAAGCTTCTTCTTTGTCCCCCATGTTCCTTCTGTGATGGATTTTGGATTGAATTTGGTTTGCTCATCCCGGAGGAATTCCGGCTTTAAGACATACCCAGAAAACCCATTGTCCTGGAACCGACCCTGGTAGACATCCATCTCTGTGCCTGCTGTCTGGAAATTTAGGGCAACTGCAACATAAGTAAATAAATTCAGTCACTTTCAGATAAAACAATGGGAATCTTTTTACACTAATTCTGTTCACATTCATTTGCTTTCCATGGACGTAAACACTGGCTTTTCCATGCTTCAAAGAGCAGTGATAAACTCTGACTGTCACAGCCTACTACCACTGAGAATCTCTTGCATTCAGAGATGTTAGAGACAGGAGGAGCCATTACAGCCACCTCATTTGTCCCCCTGCCTTCCACGGGATCAAAAAGTGTCCTGCATTGAATTTATGTCACCTGGTTGAGCAACTGCATCTTTTAGAGAAACCTATTCATTTCCATGCTAAAGAAGTTATCTCCGGCAGTGAAGCCAGGAAATCTTTTCCAGTGTTTCTCTGGCTGCGTAGCCTCAGTACAAAAACCCCTTTCCAGCCCAGATATGTCTATTTTCATTGGCCAACCTGAGGGGCATTGATACCTCTGTTGGTCAGCTCCTCACTATGCAAACTTCTCATGTCGGAGTGCAGAAGCTCTTCATTGTCTCCTACCCAAAAATAGATCAAGCCTCACTGGTGTCCTAACACCAGGCAGATTTCTTGTATTCTTTTGAGTTTGCCATTATCCTTTTAAAAGTTTTAATGTCAAATCCAGAAGCAGTCTCTGTGAACAGTCTCACTAATACTGCACACAGACCCCAGCGCCTCAGTATTCCATTGATTTCTCACCCTCTTTAGCAATTTCTAAGACATCTCTAAGACAGATGGCAATTTATCTTGGTCCTGGGTCCTACATACCCTGTAGTATTTGAAGGCCAAAAGCATTTTAAGGCACTTGCCTGTTCTTTCATTTGCAAACAAGACTTTGCTATCTGCGGTATACTGGTTTTACTGGGAGGTGCAAGTACTCAGGGCTTCTGAAAAAACTAATTTTGGGTGCCCAAATTCTGAATTCAGGTCAGTTAAGGCATGTAAGTCTGGCCTTAGTGTACCTCAAGGGACCCAATGTTGCCTCCCACGGACTCTACTGAGACCAAACTCAGTGCTGGGGAGACAGGCCAATGGGTGCTACCTGTGCCCTACAGGGGCTATAGGACCCAGCAAGTTCATACACTGCCAGGCACAGCCAGCCCATGCAGGTCTACACAGCTCTGGGTCAGGCATCCCTGCATCTGCAGCTTGTCTTATCTGGCTGGGCCACACAGGCACAACTGGGACATCTCCAACATCTAACATCACCAAGAGAGTCAGCCAGCCCATGCAGGTCTACACAGCTCTGGTTCAGGCATCCCTGCATCTGCAGCTTGTCTTGTCTGGCTGGGCCGCACAGGCACAACTGGGACATCTCCAACATCTTACATCACCAAGAGAGCCAAGCATGTCATCACCAGCCTGCCCACTTACCATCACACCAGGTTTCCTCAGAACTACAACATAATTCACTTGACGGGCTCCAGGACCCTTGTTTTCAACAAATCTCTGAGGCATCACTATGCCATCAGGGGCCTCAGCACCCTGGGAGGATGTATGATGCTCTGTTTTGACTACAGGGAATGTCTCGGGCCACGGCTTGGCCCTTATGGTTATGGCTTTTCTCTAGGGCTCCAGAGAGCTGAGTTTGATTTACATCTCTCTCAGAGATTTCAGCACACGTTTCAGTAACTGACTGCAATTCCTGGCTCTCTCCTTTGTTCAATGACAATAACCCTGCTTCCAGTGAAATCCCACGGATGTGCACACTGATGTGCAGGAAAGGTTCTCCGAACGGTTTTGAGGTGGGCCAGAAATACAGGTATATGAAAGTCACTGAGCATTGGCTAAAGAGTTGATCTCTCCCTGTGACCACAGAGCCTCCTTGCCTGCAAATGCCTTGAGATCTCACATCTAACTCAGCTGAAACTCGTCCAGAGCCAGATCATGGGCAGCCCTGCCAGATCAACCCTCTCCCACCTCCCAGTTGCACCCACCGATCTGGCAGCCGACGTTCCACAAGTCAGTGGGGTTGTAGTTGGAAGAATCTGTCCTCCAGCCTGCAGGGTAGATCCGGCTCAGGTGCCTGATGTTGTGATGAATAAAACTGGTTCCTAGAGAAAAAAATAACAAGAAAATGTCCCTTTCAGTGATGAAGGTTATCTCTTCTTGATGCTGCCGTATATTCTGCTTCCCCACTTGGTGAGTCTGGCTGAATCTGAGCTACCTGTATAAAACACCCTTCTCAGTAGCAGCCTCTAATGATATTAAGTTATTCCCACTGTTTCTCAGTGACACGCATGACCAAAGAGATCATAACCCACATCTTTCAGGATGTCTTTTCCTTGTCCTTAACCACCACTGCCTGTCACTTTATGGGGGAATGGGATGCAGGATGGCGTCTTGCCAGGGCAGAACATACATACCAGACTCCTGGGCTAGTTTCAGAGCTTTGCTTTCCGTGAATGATGACATCTCGTAGAAAGGCCGAGGATGGCTGGGGTCCTCAAAGCCATTGAAATGGACACTCTTGCAGTAAACAACTGTGTCTGACAGCTCCTTTGCCAGCTTCAAGGTGTCACTCTAAAAGCAGGAGAGCAAGAGTTTTGTGGGGAATGTCTGCAGTCACACTCAAAAGTAATAATCATGTTTTCTCTAGGACGTGTGGTGTTTCTTTTCTCCACCATCTTCACACAAAAAGAATGCACACTATCAACACTCAATGGCACCTCAACGCAGAGAGAAGGTGGAAAATGGGCAGGCTGCCCTTGCCATGTCCCTTGTCCTTCACCAAGAGTGCTAATCCCTCCTCTCAGGCCCATTCTGACCTGTCAAATGATATCACAGTCTTCCCAAGTGTTGTCACAAAGAATATTTCATTTCATCTGGGCTATCTTCTGCATGTATTTGCATATTATTATGTGAATGAGTATTTCAGCTTGGCTGTCACAACTCACAAGTGATTAGGGTGACAAACACAGCACCAACCAACCTCATCAGCCTACACTGGAGAGGATTTCACAAAACAGATGCTTTGCTTCCCCTGCACCCTTATTGCATGATGTTGTCCAGATAAATTCCCTCTTTGCTGATGTGATACCCTTTCTGCTGCCCTCTGTATGATCACTTGAATTTCAGCATCATTGGCTGCCTCTAGTTGTTAAACTTTACAACAGAGCCTAAGCAATGAGTTTTCCATACTGTCCTGGTCCCAAGCATGTGAAGCTGGAAATAAGAGGAAGGAAATTATGTTTTCGCCTCCAAGAGCTTGGGCTTTTTTCCCCTGAACTAGGAAGTTCTCTCAATGCTTTGATGCCTCCTACTCCATAGCCACATTCATTGGTGTTAGGGTGAATTGAGAGCCACCAGCTCCCATCAGAGGCAAGAAAAGAAAATAACAGATGTCAGAATTATACACATTATTGACTACAGTTCAGAGAAAGAAATAAGACCCTCAAAGAGTGAGCAAATCAGCAAGAGGAAGCATAGATCAGACCAGACCCAGAGGCGACATCGACCAGCTTTGCCATTAGTGAGACTGAATGTATTTGTATCACTTCTGAACGTGTTCCATAAACAAAGTCATGATGGTCCCATGACAAAGATATTAAGAGATTTTGGGAAAACAGAGATAGATAGATAGATAGATAGATGGATGGACAGATAGATAGATAGACAGAAAGAATCAATATGTGCCCTTCCATAAATGCTACAGGGTCTGTCCCAGTGCATTGTCCTCCAACTTTATTTTAAAGACAGAAGCCAACCCTAATGCTTGACTGGATCTGCAAGATTTTTTGCACCTGGGACAGAAAAAGTTAAGCTGAGCAAGGACCACGATCCTTAGCTCCAGTGATTTCAACAATTCGCCTCTATGTATTCCCAGTTGAGTAGTGGAAACCACACAGAAAACTGTCTTAGCTGGGAACATATTAAATGTGTATTTCAATTGCCTTTTTTTTTTTTAGGCATAATACAAAACCCACCTAGGAAGTGGGTTTTCCAGCATGAGTCAAGGAATAGGCTAACAAATTCGGACTTCCTGATGCAGGACTTCAGAGTCTTCTGCAATAGGCAAAGATCTTGTCTTAACTTTTCTGGCTTTCCAGTCTGCCGTTTTCAGGACTCAGTTACCTCATTTACTTACCTTCCCCTTCTGCTGTATCTCGGTCTTCACAGATTCATCTTCCATTTCAGCTGCTTCATCTTCATCAGAAACATCCTCAGCCTCCAGGTTGTTGTTCCCGTTTGCTCCGGTGGGGTCCTCGTGCCTGCTCAGCTTCTTGCCTTTCACAAGGATCTTCCCTTTCAATTGCTGTACAAGGACAAGTGGACAAAATAGCTGGTGGTTAGAAAAGATTTTGGCCCATCCTGAAGGAGCAAGCATACAATAGCTCCTCAGCTGTAACCAGGACCAGGGCCTCTTAGAGATGCATCAGTTGCTGGTTATTACCCATAGGTACAGGTAGCACAGCTGGCTGCTGAGCTAGTACACACATTTCTTGAGCTGAATCAACTCTCTCTGGCCTCTTTCAAAGCCCACATAAAACCTTCAGTTGAAGAAATACACCAACAGAGCATGGTTGCTCGCAGACCACCATACCCCTGATGTTTTCCTTGTGGGAGGAAGGCTGAAGCCTGCAGAGGACTGACTTTGACCCCAAACGAGGCAGCAGTACTGAAAAGGGTTACTGCCTAGGTGCAATCTTTGAAGTGAGAAGATTATGTCTTAAAATTTGGAGCACTCCTAAACAGTGAAATCTGTGGGAGATTTGCACCTGGATGCATTCAGTATTCCTGGTTTTGGAGGGTGCTAATTACTCCAGAAAAATGCGATCTTGGAATTAGCCAATACAACCCCTCTCAGTCTGTGCAGCATGTTCCACTTTTCTCAGTAACACCCTATATTTACCCTTTCCACAACAGCAAAAGCAACAAAACCCACCATTCTCATCACAGGACCACAGAAAGCCAAGGATTTTTTATAAAGCAACGCAGGCATTTTCAAAGGACACAATTCCCCCTTTGTGGGCACTTGCATCACGTCTTTATTGAGACCAGCTCCAGCTAAGCTGGGGGTGAAGCTTGGTTTGACCTGAAATTTGCCACTGGCATCCATGGCAACGGTCAAGAGCATTTTTCTTCAGCTACCACAAATTATCTGTTTTACATCGGAGCATTTTCCCTGTCACTCAAGAGCTACACAAAGGCAGCTGGAAGGAATGTACCCGTTACTGGGAATAAAGGGCCCAGAGAAGCAGTCAGAGCATAGCAGTGTCCTCTTCCCTATCCCCACACCATCTTACTTCCTCCTAGCCCCCCAGCCCTCATCCAGGCAGAGCTGTGACCTGCTTCCTCACATTCATGGCTGGGGAATGAGTCGGCTCATCTCCAGACTCTCACTTCAGTCTCCTGCTTGCATGTACCTTCCCACTATCCTGCCTCAACATCCAGCTCTTCACTGTTCTTCCACGACACTCACCATGAGGAGGTGAAATCCAGTTCTGTGTGAGTTTTTAGGCTCTGGTCAGCACTTTGAACGGACAAGCCTGAATGGATTGCACTGGGATAGCATTCTGTTATATAATACATTATCTGCCTCTGCTCTCTTGCATCCCATAAGAAATGTTGCCACCTCATCCCACAGCTCAACGGTAAAGAACTAGAGATAAGTATTCGGGGCAGATTGCTTGATTCTTAATTATCAGTATCGTTAATAGCCCTTTTTAAGCTTTTCCAGTTCTGGACAGCCTGTCCAGTAAGTGGCAGGTGTAATTTCTGGCACATATCCATCTTAGGCGGCTCAATAACATCAGTAGTGAAGGCACAGCAACATGGCCTCCACTTTGTCTCCTCACCACATCTCATACCAGAGCTGCCAGCAGAGGGTCCTTGGTGCTGCTGTTATCCTATCTAGGCTGTGGTCACTCTTGGAAACGTTGGACATACTGCAGATGCTCCCACCATGGGCACAGGGACACTGGTCAGCTCAACCTGTGTTGTACAACACTTTCCATACAGCAATGGTGGTGATCCCCTTTGGCTTTGAAATCTACAAGGATGGCTCCCTCCCGGAGTCCTGTTGCATCGCAGAGGATTAGTATTCCCCTACGCAAGTAACCTCCACTGTGACTATAATGGAGAGACCACGTGCCACTTAACCCCAAAGAAGACATGTTAGCTTATTGGTCCACAATGAGGGGTGAGATTCATCACAAACCAGAGGATTTTTATCTCTGTTTCCTGCAGAAGGTGCTTTTCTATAGTAGCATTGCACTGAATCCACTCTGCAGAAGCTGCCAGTCCCAAACATGGTCTTACTTCATTTAATATGGGTGCTAGGAAGCAAAGTCCTAAATTTGAGTGCTTATCTCCTTTAACAGGGTTTTAAATAAGTTGACACACAGACACAAACACATGGATGCACTTGCTCCATCTCTTTTGGTTCCCCTTCACATGATATTAAGTATTTCTAGCCTGAGGTGAAAGACACTCAGCTCATCAGTTCAACTCTGTTGAGCAGATCTCCTGTCTTAGGAAGAAGCATTAGCTGAAACACCCAATAAATACTCTCCAAGCAGAGCATAAACTCATCCCAACTGCCTGTGGCAAGCCCAGGGCTGAATACAACTGAAGGAAAGGCTACAAGGACACTGGACTCTACTGAGAACATTTAGTGGAGTGGCTGCTGGAACAGTTTTTCCCTTCCTCACGTGCCCTGCAAATCGTGCTGCTTTAGTTCTCCATGAGTGGAGCTCCCCTGCTCTCCCACGTTTTCTGCTGCACACTGAACAAGCTCAGCTCTGCAAGTGAAATGGTTCTGGTTCATGGCTCTACTTCCTTCATGAGTCTGTGAACTGGGACGTGGCAACCACCTTGAATGAAAGCACTGCTGATTTTATTGAAAGGAGCAAAGCTGTGAAGAACAGAGGATTTTAGAAGACCCGCATATACATGTGTATCCTACCTGAAAGTTTCCTGCCCCTACTAACAATCTGAAAGCAATGGCAAGGTCTGATTTCCAGTTTCCATCTCCGTGGAAGCGGAAGATCTGTAACGTGATCCACCTCATCAAATTTTCTGTGCCTTCAACACCTCCTTTAGAGTCAACAGAGAAAACGGAACAGTTCCAGGGTGTGATTCTTCTTGCCTATTTAGACAAACACTTAGGAGGAGGTGTACCACATCTCCAACTTCCCTGCCTGTATTAACTATTTCTCAAAAGGAGCCCTAAGTGTTTGCATACATGGACATACAGGGTCTGAGTCTTACATCCTACACTCAGGATAGAGATATCCATCTTCCTAGAATTCTGAGCAGCTGTGAGGAATAACATGTTCCCATTCATGAGATGATGTGCAGACTAGATGGATCAACCAATACCACATCGCCATCTTTGTATGTCCTTCAGCCTAGTTGTAAACTGAAGTGTTGCAGGGTTTAGCAATTAGGGGCACCAGAGGATAAAGAGAGTCTCCAGAAAAGAGGAAGAAACACATTATTAAAGGAGGTTTTGAAGGATTTGAGGGAAACTCAGCTCAAGAACTTCTGCCAAGAAGATGCAGTAGACAAGACTGACAGAGGCTGGGCTAATGTTGGAGAAACACACAGGTGTGCCATTAGGTAGAAGGACTTGAAGCCATGTTCATGCTAAGTGTACGGTACAAAAGTAACCCTCTTGGGCAGATGGTCCCTGGGGACCACTGCAGACTTAAGAGACCTACAACTGAACCTGGTCTGGATTTAGCTGAGCCAAATCTAGAGGCATTTGCTAACCTCGCCGCAAGCACGGGGCAGAGCAGGTCAGCCACCCTGCTGCTAGGATGACTTGTGGTGAGCCCTGCACTGCCACTGCTCTGATGGAAGTGGTTCCTGAGCTGCATAGCTCAAAGTGATGTTGAACAGGGGCACTGGACACAGCAATGGATGTGACTGATGGGACAGCTGGTGGGACAGTGGAGGTATGAGATGGCAGAATCCCCTGCCACTGCACTGGGGCTCCCAACTGGGAGGCTTATGGTCCTGTAGGTCATCTACCAAGACAGGTCTGTTAAGCCAACAGCCAGTCTCGCTGTAAACAAGGAAGTCCAGGAACAGAGCTGGAGCGGTTTCAGGTATGCCTCACACGCTGAATAGCTGCACGCGATGTTGGCAGCTGTTTTAGTCTCATTTCAGGGATGGGATTCTGCAGCATTTCTAGCTGTGTTGCAGGGACAGAAGAAAGGGGCTGCCTGTGCAGATCAGAGATGGGGCAGAAGGACCTGCACCAAGCAAACAGCCACAGAGGCTGGATCAGCTCTTCCCTTCCTAAAGTATGGACGTGACGTGGTTTAGTGGTGGACCTGGCACTGCTAATGGTTGGACTCGATGATCTTAAGGGTCTTATCCAACCTAAACAATTCTACAACTCTGGCATCAGCCTGGAGCTTTCATGTGGTGTTTGGCCTTTCATCCTACAGCCTTTAATTTACTTTGGGGACCTAAACCCAGCAGCTTGAGGGAGCTATTTAGATGCTCTGTGTAGCCCAACGCTGTTCCTGAGCTGAACGGCAGCATGAATTGTCAGCATGAATCCAAACTGTGTTGATCTTCCTTTAATTACCGACCCTGCCCTGCTACCACAATCTGCAGCAATGCTTCACCTGTCTTCAGCTGTCTTCCTAGTGACAGATCACACCCTTTTTCTAATATAAAAAATACTGCGTTATCCCACATGTCAGCTTCAGAAAGAAGTGGAAAATCCAAGAGGTTTCTCATTTGTTGTGGTTAGTATTTTTTTCTTTAATATTTCAGCTTCAGTGTACTTCCACAAAAAAAAAATGAAAAATCATAAGTTCAGCCCTAGTTCTCCTCATTCACATAGCAGGAAGGCAGAGGAAAAGTATCAGAGGGAAAAGGATAGGTTTTGCTACATTGGCATTTTTTCTCCTTTTAAATGAAATGGATCAATCCCTCCAACGGAGCGTATCAGCCCGAATCCATTCACTAAGGTAGTTCTGGGCTATTTTGTTTCAGCTGGGGCCACGCACTCATCTGGACAATCAGAGCAGGAGGTCAGATGAGCACAGGAATGGTAAAAACATCTTTGGGAAGCTGGGGTCATTCCCTAGCACACACATCACACATTTCTTTCCCTCTTATTTCTCCTTTCTTTCCTTACTTTTTCATATCATTACCCTGGTCACAACACAGTGTTTTGAAAAGCCATCAGCAGCTTTCCTGATCCTGCACCAGGGATGAACAGTAAGCCAGGAGGTTACACTGAAGCCTTTGATTTTTCCAACTCAGCCTGCAGAGTCCTGTCTCCATGCTGAGTGTATCCTCACGCTGGGAGCGCGGCACTTCTTAAATAGAGGCACCTGGTCTGTCCCAGTGCAAAGTAAGGAGCACCATTAAAATTATGATTCATCCTAATTTATTACACTGGTGCCTAGGAACCATCCCAGATCAGCTTCTTTCTCTGCCTAGGCATTGTATCAAGTGAGGCATGACACTCTCAATCAAAAGGGGAAAGTCAGAAAGGGAAAAGCAAAAACGGGAAAGGGAGAAGAAATACAGAAGATTTTGGGTGGATTGTTTTTCCTCTCCTTTCTCCCCTGCTGACTGCCAGCTTTATCCCACCCACAAACGCCTTCCAGCTCTGGCCTAGGTATCCTCATCCAATTTTTGACAAATGATTCCTTCAGCAAATAAACAATTTAAAGGGGACTACAGCTATCCATACAGATGTCTCTTTCTGCAAAGTGCTTAAGAGAAAAGAACAAAAGAAAACACAAATCCAAAGGATGGAAACAGATTAATGTTTCATTTTGGCCTGTTTTGGAAACAGTCTGGTTTTTTCATATCAAGATTTCATTTCCAACTTTTTCTAATTGTCAGTTAGTGATTTTATAGTGGTCCACTGCTGAGGGCTGTACATCTCCTTCCTCCTGAAGGGTGTGAGCTCCGTTCCCAGCTTCACGGCTGCCCTGATTCCTGGGAATCAGAGGGGCTTCTCCATGCAGCCTCCTGCGTCCCCTTGTCCTCCATGGACATCTCCATCCCTGCCAAGCCCAGGCTATTCTCAGTGGGAGGACACTTGGTGCTTGATATAGTTATAGGCTACCTGTACTGCTTTTCCCTTTGAGTTTTGAGGAGTTAAGCAATCACAGCTGTCCTTCCAGCTCTCACTGCTTCCTAATCAGCAGTCTGGATCTCCTCAGCAGAAGACCCAAGGTGTTAAAGGAGGAGAGGAGCACATGCTACATCCCTCAGCATAGAACAAAACATCCCGTCTACCACGAAATCAAGTAGTGTCCAGTCTTGATGGATTAAAAACACAGAGACACCTCACAGTCACTCCTTTTGGTGCTCATCTTCCCTGCATGTGCAGCAACCTAACAGCAGTTCAGAAGATTAGTGCGAAGAAGGTCATATTCAGCTTTGGGGTGTGGGGAGCAGACACAAGACAAGACCCTCAGGATTCAGCTCCTATGGGACAAGCCAGAAAAACAACCTCCTCATGGGATGAAGGACGTTCCCTGGCCTTCATAAATGGACCAAGAATGTCCTCGGTCCTGCAGGGATATTTCACCTGAGTTCTTAGATAACAAACAAGGAGCAACAGGGCATCGGATAGAGCGTTGAGCAACCTGATCTTGCTAAAGATGTCCCCGCTCACTGCAGGGTGAGTGAACTAGATAATCTTTAAAGGTCTCTTCCATCCCAAAACATTATATGATCCTATTTTATGCTTGATGCACACAGGCTATTTCTATATACTCCTACTTCTTATTCCACCACTTTCCACAGGCCATCTCTCTGTTCCTCAGCAAGTGCAGTTCCCACCAGTCCTCAGGCATATTGTCCACTACTGGGCATGCAGCAAGAAGACAGATCTCCCTTGTGTCCCACCCTCAGAAGGAAGAAAGTGCTTGAATGGTCTTGCTTACCTCTGGGGAGGGGAACTGGGATTTGCTTCCATCAACTGGGGCAACCAAGAGCATGTCCTGCAGGATTGTCGTCATGTGCTGAGCCATGACCTTCTGCTGATCGACGCTGCAGTGGTTCTCCAGGGAAATGATGACAGGGTATGGTGAGGTCTAGAACAAGATAGCAACATACATCATCAGTGTTTCTCTGCAATTTCACTGGTCTACAGCAATTATTATAAAACCCAGTGCTGCTTTCTCTGGAAATGAGTGTGTCAACAGTAGGGTCTAGTATTCTGGTAAAATGAACATTTGTTAAAAATTGACAAATTTAACTGTGCAGTAGCCACTCAGATCTCCACTGATGCCTTCCAGAGATGATGATCCAATGGACAGGGCACCATGCAGGGTTAGGATGCCTCCCACAGACTCACTGGGGCACTTTGATGAGGCTCCCTGTGCGCCCATTCTCCCCTTGCACTGTGGGTCAGAGCACCTTTCCACCTCAGAGGAAGGACTGAGAAGGGAGGCATGAATCCTTCCTGCATTCATGCATAGGTCTGATTTGCTCCCTGTGGCTCCCCCTAGACATTTTGTGAGCTGAAGACATTGTCATTCTTACTACTTTAGAGACCCAAAGGAAACTTGATACCAGCTCTCAAGTACACTGAAGGAAAATATCAGAAAGACCAGTGAGTCTGGATAGATCCAGAACTTTTTAAAGGCTGCTGGCCCAGCACTGCCACACCAGACTCCAGATCTGCAGAACAGAAGTAGTCTTTTGCATCAGTTCCTCCAAAACATATGCACATGGGTTCCTCTAAACTAGGAACAGGCCCTGAGACATCCAAAACCACACAAATCATGGGCTTGTTTGCATTTCCCACCAGGTATGCTCAAGATGTTGCACATTATTTTCATTGCAGTGGGATGCAGCTGTGCTAGTATAGATTCAAACCCATCCTTAGATAGTGCTCTGCCTGTCCAGCAACTGCCAAGAATGGATCTCTGCAGAAAGCAGAACATGGATGCCCAGACAGAAAGATACATTTTGTACCCATAAGAAATGCTAAGGTGAACTCTTCATTGTTCATGCTCTGCTGGGAGGGCAGAGACCTACTACCAATCTTGGACTGTACAACATGAGAGTTCTGTGAGGTTCCCTCATCCTTACTTTGAAAGCATAGTTCTTGATTGCCTTAATGACATCACTGAAGAGGATCTTGGAGGTGAGAGTGTAGCCATGATAAATGACGGGCTCTGAGTTAGGGCCATCCCAGCAATCCAGTTCCACACAGCGGCAGCCTTTGGTGAGGGCTCTGGAAACAAAGAAGGGACCTCGTTGGGTTCTAAACCTTCTGTTCCATCTCAAAATGAGGGAGCATCAGGCACAGGTATTGCCTGGGAAGGCTGACAAGAAGTTTAGGGAGCAAGGGAGAAAAGAGGAGCTTGGAAAAAACAGGAAAGCAGATGGAAAAAGGATGGGATCAGGAGAGCTCAGTCAGCAAAGAGAGCTCAAGGTTGAGCAAGGAAAGCACAGTAGGATCTTAGAAAGGAAGCAGTCAAAGTCCAAGGTAAGAATCATCCAAAGAAGAAGACATGAAGACATAGCAAGTGCCAGATGAGAAAGGACACTTATGACTGTGCCCCAAATTTTTCCCAAAGATAGTGAAGAGAAAAGAAAACAAAGAGTGACTGCACTGGAAGAAAGTTAAATAATCAAGCCTTAGAAGCAAGGCCATGAACCCTAGATAACGTAGATTTCCCCTGTAAAGATTTATCTGTCTAGGAGGTGACCTTGTCCCTTTTACAATAATTCCCTATACATTTCAGATAACACAACTCCTTTAACTTGTTGCAGTAAGAATCCAAGAACCACAGAATGATTTGGTTTGGAAGGGCCCTTAAAGATCATCTCGTTTCAAACACCTGCCATGGACAGGGACACCTCCCACTAGACCAGGCTGCTAAAATCCCACCCAGCCTGGTCTTGAACACTTCCAGGAAGGCAGCATCCACAATTTCTCTGGGTAATTGGTTCCAGAAGTATGGGATTATTTATTTTTTTTACAACTAAAGCATATTTTTAATATACCATAAGAGGAATTCAAACAACTACTGAAAAACCACTCATGCCAGATTTCACTCTCTACTCTTTAGAGCCTGTGACTCTAAAGAGTCACACTGCTCCCTGAGAATCAGGTAAGTAATAAACAAAGACAGAACTGCAGTCCCTGGCTTACTTATAAGGAAACACTGTCTCACTTCATAAAAGTACAGGTCATAGCAGAAGTAAAGTAAGGTGGTTGTCCAGGTTTGTAAAGGGCACTGCAAAATCTGGCCATGAGACATCACACAGCAGTTTGTTGTTACAGGTGGAAGTAGGTAACACTTAATGTTCTGTCCAGGGACGCTGTGGGAGCATCTGAGCTGCTAGAGAGGAACCAGACATAGGCTTCCACATCACCCACAGCACTTCATTAGCTCACAGACCACCTCTTTTTTTTGAACACTCCAACTAGGTATCTCCAAAATAAGCCCCAGCATGGTTTTAGGGATAGTCCATGCCAGAGCCTAGTCCCAAAAGACAGTAGAGATTGTAAACATCATGACGTTTTGGCTCTTTCCAGTCCCTACACAGTCCTGCAGCTCTATCCCAGAAATTTTTGCACTTTCTAAGTTCCTTGTGCACATGATCTCATGCAACATTCTGGGGAATGCAACATACTCCCTCGGCATCATGCTTTAAAAACACCATGCTGGAGAGCTTCAATCCAGGTGTTTTAGCCTACTCCCTGATGTAGTAATTATACATCTTATAGTCAGGTGGACACCACACGGGCCCAGCAGAGACCCAGGTCAAAGTGCTACGAGAATGGCCAATCTGGTTTAGAAACAGCTAACCCTGATGTGAACATGGGCCAGCCCACATTACCTAGTCTCTAGGTGGCAGATCGCTTCTTGGTCCTCTTGCATCTAGCAGTATAGTTACATCCTACGTCTTCTATAAAAAAAGAAGCCAACACACACACATAAACACACGCATACATTACCTGATATAGGCTTCTGTGCTGCTCGGACCTGTGAGCTGGTCTTCCATAAGATAGGTATTGTGTGAGGATGACACTAAGTAGTGACTGAGAGGTTGAGTCATGTCCTGGTAAACTTTACGGTGAGAGGAGTTGAATATATTTCCATCATCGGACAGCAGGTACATCAGGAAACCATCTTTGGTCATAGCGTTACCCCTCTTGGCTGTCAGATAAATAGACAGAAAACCTATACCGAAAATCTGACACCACCAGGTTGTGCCATCATCTTTACCTGCTGCTCTCCACAGGATCTCAAAGGCAAAATATGCATTCAGCTAACAGGAAAGATATTGATGCTATTCAGATGATGATGACAGCTTCATCTGCTTGAAAATGCTTTTAAAACCCCTTCACAAACATGGCTTTTTACAATAATTACTGTGCCTGATAACATCTTAAAAGTGTCAAAGACAGCACTTACCTAACCTGTCTCTAGAGATCTACAATATAAAAATCTCCATTAGAGCACTTGAAGCTTTCTTCAGGCCAACATAGCGAAATTGTCAGACATCTAAACATAACCAGGTAAATCCTGTCTAGATTATCCAATGAATACATGATTTGCAGAGTAAATACAAAATAATGCGACTTTGGGGAGAAATTGATGTCTCCCCATCTTGAGGGACTGGGTTGGATCTCAGGATTGCTCAAGTCTGACATCTGTCAAGCTCTGTCCCTCTCCTGATTGTATACCAGGATAGTGCAAAATCAGCCTATGATCCTGTGTTTGTTTCTGGAATATCTCCTCTAAGGTGGCAATTCATTTAATTTCTGAGCAGAAGGACAGTACTGTGATGGCTCTCCTAAACAGCTGTCACCTTCTTGGCCCTCTACTCAGAGATCTCATCACCCGATGGCTTTTCAGGTGCCCACATTCAAAAACATTTGCCTCTATTCTTGCTTCTGGAGAACAAAAATATCGTTACATTCTTAATCTTGCAAAGCCATGTGAGGTCTTGATGTTCCAATAAGCCATCAGAGCCTTTCCCTCTGGAGTTTCATCACCCTCCACCCAACCCCTCCTCAGCTGCTCAGTGTACCCAAATCACAATTGAAAAGTAATATTTCCCAGGTTCTCCCATGCCCTCCTCTCCTAGAGCTGCTAATGCTCCCCTAGAAGACTGATGTTTTAGAGGCAGCAGCAAGGAGAAAATTACACACATGGCTGCAGAGGGAAGCAGCAGTGAACCGATTCATAGTTCATCAAGAAAGCAAGATACTGAAGCAAACCAGCCAGAGTTTCCAACCTACCTCTTTCATTGGGCTCATATCTCTGGATTAAGGCAGGGGCAGCAACAACAGCATCTTCTTCTTGCTGTGTCTCATAGAGAAACCTCACCAGGTTCTGGCAGGACATGAACCCTTCTGCATCTGAGTACTTTTGGAAGATCTTGTCTATTTCCTTCCTCTCAGTCAGTATTTTGTAAAATTCCTCTATCTCATCATCCTCCAGAGCCTCTGTTTTGGACTTGTCACAGTGCTGTAAACGTAGAGGGGAGAAGGAGTGAAAACCTTCTTTCCTTCTGGCATATGCCAGCCGTAATCTGCACCAGGGCTACACAACGCAGAACACAAAATAATTGGAAATGGTTACTGGCCAGCAAACGAGAAGCTCTTGGTCGATGACAATGGTTCTCATTGACAAGGCCAACAGTCATATAGCAGTTACAATTGCTATTATTTAGTCGTGTTATCAGTCTCCTGAAAAGCACCACTGCACTGTGTGCTGTGCAAACCATAAGTTAGTCAGCTCCTGACAATCTAAGAACAAGTCAAGGCTCAAGAGAAAACAACCTCTTGTTCTCAAGGTGTGGAGAAATATAGAGAAACAATTAACTCAATGCAACCGAAACTACTGATAGAGACTGTGGCCTAAAACCCAGTGAGGAAAGTGAAAAGGGCTTTCCCCTTGACCTTAGTGGGTTTGAGCTCAGGCCTCAAGAGACTGTCAAGGCTGATAGAAGGGCATCAAACTGACTTTTAAAAAAATCATGCTTCACATGTACATGTTAAGGTATGAAAAAAAATCCCTCTTTCCATGGGCCTTTTCTACTCTCATTCAAAAAGCTTCAAGTGACAAAATCTCCACGAATTTCAAATCAGGTATCATCTTCTCAAGGAGCCATAATTGAAGTTTTTCATGCTCCCATGTTGCTCTGTGGTTTGAACTTCTCCAACAGTCAACAGCTCTGACAGAGCGCCACAGTCAAGGACTTGACTGACAGTGAAAGATTATGAATTTAAGATATGCAGGTTCGTGTCTCCATGAAGGACAACAGCTTTCCCAACAACAAATACTTAAAATATCCCCAGGTTCAATATTTAATCAGAAATTATAATTTTTCTCTGGAAAATCCTGATAGGAATTCTGTTGTTTGTTCCTAGCAGAATTCATCACGGAGAAGTGAACAACTATTTTTCAGTTATCTCTGGGATGTAAATCTCTGTATTAAACAGGGGCTGATCAAAACAAGTTGCAGTGGAAAGCAAGAGCCTGTCTCAGAGGAATCAGTTACGGCAGGGAGCATCATACAGCTTCCAAGTGTTTTTTCATGCAAATTTCAGCAATTAATCCACTTCTAGTTAATGCCTTGGTATTATGACGATTCCGTCTTTCTCAATATCTAAAGCGAGCAAACAGACTCTTAACAGTAGCATCCTGATCTCAGACAGCCCACTCATATCTTACATTTTAAGTAGGTCTGAAAATCCAATTTTTGCATGGAGACCAAAACGCCTGCAGGATGCAGCTTGCCTTACTCAGTCTTTGGCCTAAAAACTTCTCTTCTGAACTTGGAACGGGAGGTTGTGGTGCATTTCATTTCACCCTCACAACGGACAAGTCGCTGTTGGTTACTATGACTTAGCTGGCAGGTGGTAACTCGTCAAACCAGAGGAACTGAATTGCTTTTGGTCTTTGATCTCTTATGACAGCTGGAGTTATTGCCCTGGGTTTTACAACCCAAATGCACACCTCAGTTTAGCCAGTCGTCATACTAATCTCGGCCTAAGTCTGCTAATGATCTCTGTGATGGCCATGGTGACTTTGGCGGTGCCCCAAGCAAGATGACGATGAGGGATGTTTCTCTCCTACAAATACTCCCTCACTAGCAGTTTATGGTGCACATATAAAACCAAACAAAATGATCACGATGCACAGCATTTCACAAACACAGCAAAAAGTTCAATTTGTCCTGACTTCAGAATCTGCTGGGTAAAAGCTAATGGCTCATCTCAGTTACAGGACAACTGGTGAAGCCTCAGTACTACAGATACTCTCAAACTAGGTTTGAGCAGACCAGGAGCTGTCTTTTCCTTGCTAATTTCCATGTTTGTATGATCCTGTGCTGTGGCTCTTGCAGATCTCATAAGCTAAGTTGAGCATGATGCTTAGAACTGAAAAAAAGAATATAAAGAGGGAAACCAACTGGTGGAGAGAGACTGCAGGGATGCTGTGAATGACAGACCTTTCCTTTAAGACACAGGGAAAATGATATGTTACTTCTAGAAAACTGTCATGATAACTGATGTGCCTTGGGAAGTTTGTTCATTACTGGCCATTAAAGGTTGTGATGGAAACAGGACAATAGCACTGGGCTCATAGTCATCCCCATTTGGTCCCCATGTGTTGCCTGATCTAGTTGAGAGGCGTCCCTGCCTACGACAGGGAGGTTGGATTAAATGATCCCTAAGGTCTCTTCCAGCCTAGGCCATTCTAAGATTGATGCTACGATATTCCAGGACAAATTAGATGCACAGTATAAAAGTGAGGTCCTTTTGCTTGGGCATACAAGAGCTCCAAATAAGAAGGAGAAGCTCATCCCAAACCACTGTGTTTTACCTCACTTGTAAAAAGCGTGAACCATGAGTCCTGAATGAACTTTGGTCTGACAGAAAAAGTCAGAATGTACCACTTCTGAAACACTAGAATGAATATTCAGGTTGCAATTAAGCGAGCAATTAGAGGAGCTTTGCAGTTTCTGATTGTATTGCATATGCCTTACTCAGGTGCATCTAAAACCTAGAGGTAGGCACAGAGTTATGTGCTGAAAAACAAGTATAATGCGAGGACTTGCACTGTCGCTCTCTCTTGAATCCTTGATTGCCCTTCCTTTCTGTAACTAAATGAAGAAAAACTCACAGAGACAGAAAAGATTATCCTTTTAGTAGGATAGTCTCAGTCCACCTAAGTGTAGGCAGTACATAAGCTGAAAACGTAATTGCTTTAGGAGCAAGACAGGCTCTTCCTGGAGGCAATTCAGCCCACAGAAGATCTGAATTAACCTCCAAGCAGCCTCACAGTGGCTATACCGGAAACTTATGACAATTACAGGGCTAATGAGGGCACTTCAGCGAGCTGTCTGCATTTAGATGGGATGGATTAAGCAGTAATTACTTGAAGTCCTTAAGCAAAAGGAGAATTGAACTTCAAGTTTCCACTCTTAGAGCTCTCTTGTAACTATTGCAATAGCAAAATAGGTTCATTGAATGAAAAAAGGGTGTCTTTTCAGATGTTTAATGTTTGAAGATGCATAAGTGATTCATCTGGTACAGCTATTCTTTACTATGAGGTCTGTCACACCCTGGTCTCCATTATTGGCTTTATCTATACACTACAAACAAGGTGAAAGTGTTGGTGGTTACTTCCAGTGTAGATGTCTGTATCGGAGACATCTAACTCAGAGGAATCCCAGTTTTATTGTCATTTTTCCGGTATTTTCCTTAGCACACAATAGAATAAGATATGCCAGCCAGAGCAGACAGTACATCTAGAAGATTTTGCAAGCTGAAATTGGTTTAAGATCTGCTGATGACCTTCCCCGATTCTTGCAGAGTCACCAGAGAGAGACACCATCATAAAGCAAGGATTAGGAAACTTGTACCTCCTTTGGGGGAAGGTCCTAGTGAGATCTTGTCCATCCTCCCTGCTATCTGCTTATAGAAAGGCACAGGAGAACTACTGTCCAGCACTCAGAACTACCTTTTCTTTTTCTGATTACTGTTTACTACTTCTCAGAAAAACCATTTCTGAAACTGCCCACCCATGAATTGCTTCAGACAGGATTAAAATTTGGAAATTATGCAGATGTTTTTTTAGGAAGGCTTCCTGAGAGAAACCGAAAGCTTAACAACTCAGAAATTTTCATCCCTTTCTTATCTTATGATAGACTCAGCCAGCAAGCCAAATCTTGAGAATTTAGAAGTACATGTCCCTGACCAGATTAAATATGCCTTGAGCTATTAAATCAAGACTGATCCAGGCTTGGGTGCAATTTTACGTATCTATCATGAATCTGGTTGGGTTTTTTTTTCCTAATTTGCACTTTCTTTTTGTTTGTACCTGTCTCTTGGCACTCTCCTCTTCTGAGAAAGGGAGGATCTGGGTTCATAATTGCAACCAAGCCAATTTCAGCCAGACTTAGGCTTTGACACGTGGTTGTGGCATGCTAAGCTTCTCTCACACCTGGGACTCAAGGTGCACTTGAACTCTGTTTTTCCCTTCTTCTCACATTATCCATGTTTGCAACTCATCTCTGAATCATGGCAAAATTGGGCATCAATGGTAAAGAGAGACCTTAATTGCTGAACATCAAAAATCAAGAGTCCTTCTTTGGTACAAGAAAAGGTGCCAGGAGTTCACTTTAGCTTAGGTCTCCATCCAAAGCTGAAAGCTTTGGAAGACCTTGACCTCAGCCAACAGCAAATACTTTCTCTGCTTGCTCTCATTACCTGGAAAATCTTCTTGGCATGATAGTCATCGACTTCAATGTTCACTTCTTTCAGGAAGTCCTTGAGCTCTTTCAAGCTCATCTTGTTGTCTTTGTTTTTATCAGCTTTCCGCAGGCAGGTATGAATCCAGCTGCAGGGTGATGTAAGGAAATCTTTCCAGGTCAGTGCCTAGCCTGAATACCACCCTTCTGCTGCCCATGGCAGGGGGCAAGTCTCTTCTAAAGGCTCTGACCCACCCCTCCAGCTGCTGTAAATCAGCGTGCTACCACCAAACAGCTTACATCATCTCGTCTCCTGCTGTGAAAGAGCAAAATGGTGCTTTGGCAGAAGCAAACTGTGCTGTAATATAAGCGGTCGTGACCTGGGAGAAGCTTTTTACCATCTGGCCAAGGCTGGATCAGCTGTCCTTACACTGTAGGAGTTTCTGGCCACAGCCAGAAACAGTCTGGTTTCTCTTTCATGGCAGAAAATGCATTCTGCTCCAGACTGGGATAGAAGAAGGATGAAAAGAGCTCCCAAGTGGAGTTTGGCAAACTCTTTGTCAAATCAATATTCAGTATATCAAGGTGAGCAGTGAACAGAGATTCTCCAGAAAAAGCATTAATATTAATTTTTGGACTCACCTTCCGCTTCCATATTTTTTAGGGATTTCTACATACATGTCTTAAGAACTTTGTTGTGAGCAGAATCAAACCAAACCTTGTGGGTCTTGGCTTCCCCTCATGAAATAAGCAGGATCAATATTCACTGTGTTGTCCTGTGATCACAGTTCATAAGAGCTTAGTTTATGACAACTTCAGTGGATCTGTGGATCTGGAGTAATTACAACTAAAAATGGGCTTTTTAATATGACACCAGATAATTTGAACTGGGTCTCCCACTTTCTTTCAGTCTCTTAGGAAAATAATGTTAGACAGTTGAGACACCTTGCAGTTTTAAACAACAACAAAAAAAATGCTTTATGCATCATGGATCTGACTCTTTCCGAATTGTTTTACTGTCAAATAAGGAAGGTCATACAGAAAAATCTCCTATTTTCCATAGAAGAATTATCAAAGTAATAATTTGAGCTCCACTAATGTAACCTTCCACCTCTTGCATAGGAAGCATGGGTTCAAATTCATTTTGAAAAAAATCTTTTTAAAATGCCCTATCTGTATGTTAAGCACAGTAAACCTCAGGATTAGCAAATGCCAGCTGAGGCATATAGTACCACAACATTTTAATTGAGCCTTTCAAAATAATCCCAAAAAGAGGCATTACAGCCTTAGAGGTTGTTAGTGTTGACCACAGCTATCACCGCATTCAAATATTTCTGAACTATGGAGATAAGTGTAAACTGTTTTTAAGTATTGTTTGTCTCATGGAAGGTTGAACTTTCTGTCTTTAAAAACCTTGGCAGGTGCTACGCGATGACCTCACGCTGCATCCGCGTTAGCCTGCTAATATTAACATTCCCCTTCTTTAAACATGGAAACCAAAACAAAAGAGAGGCTACATTTTCCCAGCTCCCAAGAACATTCCAGAGCCCTGAGCCGAGGTCTGGCTTAGAATGACTCTTCCCAGAAAACCACGTTCAAGTCATGAAGCTCCCCCACACAGGGAGCGCAACATCACCCACCGCCACCATCAGGGTGCAGAACACCCGTTCCACCAGCCGTGCTCCAAAGGGCATCTGCTGAGCATGTCAGCGTGGTGCCACCCATTGACACCTGACCCTCACACTTCGGCTTCCCTTCACAGCCTTTCCCTAAAAATAACAGGCAGGAGTAACACGCAACTCCAGCAAGCCAAGAGAAAATCCAGTCTGTCATGGCCAGAGGTGAGCAACAGGTCTGGATAATACTAACTGTGTGTAAAAACTACTTTTTTTGCTCTAGCTACTGAAAAAAAGAATCACCACTGATCATGAGCGCCCAGAGGTCACACATTTATCCAGAGGTGACTCTGGAAGACACTATGTGGGCAGTAAAAGCACGTGCAAAAAGAGTATGCCCTGGCGTTGCCTGTGAGTGGAGGATACTTTTCTGTTATATCCCTTCCACGGAGGCTGAGTAGTGTAGGAGGGAAATCAGAGAACCCAAAGGGCATTCGGGGGTGCTGCAAGGGCAAGCAGCAAAAATAGGAAAAAAAAAGGAGACTACAGATGTCTGGGGCCTCAGCCTGTTGTTTCAGCAAACAGTAGCGTTCAGTTCCCAAAACACTCAAACTCCTCGTGCATCTGGATACCCTCAGGTTTGAAAGAGCTTAGAGGAGCTGGATGAACTAAGCACTTAAGCTGAAATTCTTCTCATCTGACACAAACACCATTTTGCAGCCCTGGCTGAGGGTCTTCCTTTCACCTTACGTGCCTATTTGGACCTGGGTAGACTAGGGAAAAGCTGTTTCCATTCTTGTATCCATCCAGAGAGATGTTTTTAAAAGGATCTGCCATCTCCAGGGATACCAGCTTTCTATTAGAAACCAAAGAGGAATGACTGAAAGTACCTGGAAGATATCCCATGAATGTGGTCAGAACAGAAATGCTACAGAACTTCTGGTAAATGCTTTCTAACCAGAAGAAAAGCTCATAATAAACCCCAGAATCAAAGTAGGCGACACTACTCAAATGAAAAGTCCCCTTTATTTTCTGATCTAAAGTTTTCCCTGCATGCATACCTGCAATATATACTAAATAACCAGTGCCAGCTTGTTGCAGGGTTGAATATGAGGCTTAATAAAATAGTACTGTATCTATAAGAACATGAGAAGTGCTCATCAAGCATGTGGGAGCTTTATCTTTGTAGGAATAAAGGACTGGAAAGGACACATAGGACACTACATCGAGTCCCTTGCTACAACAGGCAACTCCATCATCTTATAAACTGAACAAACCCCGTCTGAAGCTAGCAAGGTTTTTGCTTTCAGTACTTGTTTTTAAAATTTTGCCCACTCCTTACTTGCTTTGCAAGATTTCAGAGGCTGGAAAAGATATGCTGCAAGGCAATTCTCCAGTCATGGGGGACAGGCAGGGGACCGAGCACTTCTCCTCCTCTACTGACTCTTTACCTTCTGCGCTCACAGAAGCTGAGAACATTTCTGAGGTTTAAGGAAGATCTGAGTAAGCCCACGCTGCTAAGCAAGCCCAGCGAAGACAAACTAAATTTAAAATCCCAGGCTTTAATTAAAGCGTCATCAAATTTCAAATGAGAAATCATGCTGTTCCGTAATTCCAGGTTACGTTAAACAGCCTGAGACAATCCCAGATTGGAAGTCAGCACTGCACGGTAATTACTCTTCCAGAAATATGGCTTGCCTACCCACCCTATTTAGCTTCAATTCTGCTTTCCAAAGACAGAGAAGCACTTTTCCACACTGGAAATTTACAGCCTTCTTCCCTTCCAAATGTCATTGTTATTTTTCCCCCCTTAGCAATCTCGTCTGTTCTTACGGGGACGTTTTTCAGCAATATATTCAATTTGACACGCTCTAGGGACAACTTTCTGCAGCCTGGATTTTCCCCACATGCTGTGAGGTGGGGGCAGCCTTCACATTTGAAAGGAAAAACTGCCAGGGTGCAGCATTTCCAACAGCATCAGTTTCAAGATTTCAAGTTTCTCTAGAGACTGCTCCCTACCACCATGGACACAGAACTGATAATACTGCTGAGGAAGGACATTACAGCCTAGAGCCTGAAAAACTTTTCAAAACATATGGTGCAGGAGGTAAACACAGCATCCAGGCACATCGGAACTAGTGGAGTTTGTTGCCTTTAAACAAAGAGCACTACAGTTGTGCTTGTTAGGCTTCAGAGAATCCACAGAAGAGTAAAGCCTGATGAAAGCTCGGCTTTTACGTGCCACCTCCTTCATCATCAGTACATTATTTCCCAGCAGGGAATCCCTGTGGAGTGAAGCCTTGGCTGAGGGCAAGACTCCCTGATGCCTGCTCAAGCTCAGACATCAGCCGCGTGATTTTCCCCAGCTGAGGATTTCGCATCTCTCCTCCTCTCCAAAGAGGTTTTGAGGTTGAACAAGGTGTGAAGCTCACGTAGCCTTTTCTCACCCAGAGCGCTATCTGGTTTCTTCTCTGATAGCTGGAAGCCTATCGTTGTGGAGCTTAAAAGAACTTAATATTTTATGACTGCTGCGGCTCTGTGAAATCAGGGTGAAATCGGCCAGCAGGTTCGTATGTGGCGGCCAGGGCCTCAGACACACGGGGACTGCAGAAAACCCACCAAGAACTGCACCCACGGATATTCTCTCTTTTTACATGGATGTGAGACCTGTGGACGCAAAGCAACTTACCGAAATGAAATGCAGCCCCAGGGAAAATCCCCTGTGGATTCAACAGAGCCAGGATTTCACTCAATAACTAATTCACTCTCCATTTCACAACTAATTCACTCTCCTTTGCGCTCTGCTACTTTTCCTTTCTGATGTCTGTACTGTCACTAGAGCAGTTGCAAATTATTTCAGGGCAAAACTTCCTCTCATGCAGAAGCAAATAAGGAGTAATTTCACTAAAGGCAGTGGAGCTACCCCACAGTAAATTTGGCAGTCAGGAGAAGAGGTTCCCTCGCCTTGTATTACTGAGAAACACGATAAACAGTACAGGCTTTTCATGCCTTGCCAAGAAGTTTCTGTCCTGGAGTTTACTGCAATGCAAGTGAAACGGACCCCTGAAGAATACAAAAAAATAATTATTGTTTTATCTGGAGCTCCCTGAAAGAGGCAATTCTTTGCTTAAGGAGTGATGTTAAGCCTGAATCCACTCTTGTTGGTATCATATCATTGTAAACCAGGGGAAAAAAGCATTGGAAACCAGGGAGTTTGCCCATGTGCAAAATCAGTGCAAGAGAACGGTTGGTGTCCAGGGCCAATAGGGAAAAAAGGGGTTAGTCTACTATCTCCACCCACAGAGAAAGACAAGTGCATCTTTGTCTGCAATTAATCACTTTATAAAGCAAAGGATACTGTTGGAGTTTCTGTTTCTGGTTCATGGAGTTGCTGTGGGCTATGATTTTTGCAAGGCCGGAGATCCAGTGGTTGGCATCATCCTCTGAACTCGCAATGAGGTCCAGGTTTTTCCGCTGGTCTTTGAAAATGATGGAAAAGCAGCGATACTCTGGGACATCCTTGGCATATTTTTCCATACCTTCTGTTTTATGGCCTGACCTCACATCCCGAATATCTTCAATGGAGACTGTGGAAAGAAAGCAGATCCTGCTGTCAGCAGAGGTTCAGTCAATCTTATCTCTACTTAGTGAGGGATATTAAGAAATTACTCTTTCTCCTTTTCCTGCAACCTCTGGAGGACTCCCTTCTCCAAACTTTGGTACTACAGAGAGCTCAAATCAAAAGGAGCAGAAAGAGCAAGAAATTTTAAAAATTCTTTCCCCGTGTTCTTTATTGAACAAAGAAGTAGGATATGCACTAGATGTCACACTGTGATACCATGTTTATGAGATATGAATCACTGCCAAGAGTTTGGTTCCAGCCCTTGGAGCAACTCTGACTTGATCTCTGTTCCCATCTGAGGGTGGGGAGAGTGAAGCTCTGCCTCTCACTGAACATCACCTCATAGACAAAACGAGAGGTGACTTCAGTGAGAGGAGGGCAGGGACCAAAATAGTCATTTTTCAGTTTGCAGAAAAGTGGTAAAATTTAAAATCCCATGTATTCTTCTCAGTCACACAAATTAGGGAGGCAAAGACCAAAGCTTCAGAGCAGTTTGCTGTCACCCATACTTCATTCTGTTAAGGGTAGACTTGATCTTCTTTGCTGCAAGAAAGCAAAACACGTCTTTCAAGATCATCCTTCCCCGTTTCCATCTCTCCCCCTGAGCTAGTGGAAACAAGCCCTGAAGTTACACCAAGTCTGCAAAATGCATGCACAAGGCAATCCAGAAAGAGCTGTACACTCAAGAAACTATGTTATAAAGCAAACAAAAGTAATGGAGACACACCAACATTGCCCCTGAAATCAGGAAAGCTCCCACAGCTTCTTGTTGTCTTTCCTGGGCCACTCAATACATCTACAAAGGACTGAAAGGAAAGGGCAGAAACCACTTAATCACATTTGACCGCTGAGAAACTTAACACCAAAGTAAGGATGGCACCTACACACAACAAATGGTAAAATGTTTGCAGTGTTGGAGCCCATAACCCAGAAAATCTCATTGCATTTTCTTGGGCGGGAGATGGACCAGTTGACAGTTTGCTAACCAACACCATCTCAGGGCACACATAGAAAAGGCAACACACCTGAAAGATATTCAGCCATCTTCTATAACAAGCATGAAAGAAATAGGTAAGATATCACAGGAATCTGAAAACAAATAACAAAAAAAACCACAAAAAATACCACTTAACCTCTTCTCTACTTCAAACTGTAAATTACAAGTAGAAATTAAATCCTATGTCACAGATGTTTGAGATTTATTTTATTTGTGCTTATCTTGAAGGAATTTTACTGAAAAGCAATATGTGAGTGTAAAATATCCCTGCTCTTTAGCTGAATAGAAGAAACTTGCTTTTAAACATCCATTCTATCTGCTCCTTTATTTAAATTGGTGCATTTTCACCAGTAATGTGCCTGGTTCATTCAAAGTCAACACAGCAAAAAACCACAACTCAGTATCCACCCTGCATGGTTTTTAGCATGGTTGCCCTGGGATCATCCAAAATTTGTCAGATGATCATTAGAGCCTAAAATCTTCCCTTTTTTTTCACAGCAGTTGTGATAAAGCTCAGCAAAACTTCAGTCTTCAAAAATCAGTGGCTTTCCAAAACCAACATCTGCTATTTGCTTTAAATTCTCACCACATGTTGAGGAGGTCAAACCCTTCTCTGGTTTCGTTCCTATAAAAGAACATATCATAAGGACCTTCCTGAAGCTGGCAAAGCTCCTCCCTGACAATTATGAGCCATTACCTTTGTGTGGTCTTTTTACTATCACTTCATAAAGATCAAGGGTTGATCAGTCATTGAGGAAGGGAGGAAAAGGTTGGGCTGGGCTGGGCTGGGCT